CCCTTACCTGATTATCAAGGAGTAGGGTGTTGTTCAGTTTCCATGTAAATGTGGGCTTTCCATTCTCTTTGTCATTTTTGAAGACCAGCCTTAGACCATGGTGATCTGATAGGATGCAGGGAATTATTTCAATTTTCTTATATCTGTTGAGGCCTGTCTTGTGCCCAATTATATGGTCTATTTTGGAGAAGGTACCATGAGGTGCTGAGAAAAAGGTATATTCTTTTGCTTTAGGGTGAAATGTTCTATAGATATCTGTTAAGTCCATTTGGTTCATAACTTCTGTTAGTTTTACTGTATCTCTATTTAGTTTCTGTTTCCATGATTTATCCATTGCTGAGAGTGGGGTGTTGAAGTCTCCCAGTATTATTATGTGGGGTGCAATGTGTGTTTTGAGCTTTAGGAAGGTTTCTTCTATGAAATTCGATGCTCTTGTATTTGGCGCATAGATATTCAGAATTGAGAGTTCATGTTGGTTGACTTTTACTTTGACAAGTATGAAATGCCCTTCCTTATCCTTTTTGATAGTTTTAAGTTGAAAGTTGATTTTATTCGATATTAGAATGGCTACTCCCGCTTGTTTCTTAGTGCCATTTGCTTGAAAAATTGTTTTCCAACCTTTTACTCTAAGGTAGTGTCTGTCTTTGTCACTGAGGTGGGTTTCCTGTAAGCAGCAAAAAGCTGGGTCCTGTTTGCGTATCCAGTCCGTTAGCCTATGCCTTTTTATTGGGGAATTGAGTCCATTGATGTTAAAAGATATTAAGGAGAGGGTGTTCTTGCTTCCTGTCATTTTTGCTAATAGTGGAGACATCGTTTGTGTGGTTATCTTCTTTTGGGTTTGATGGAAAAGGATTATTTTCTTGCTCTTTCTGGGGTATGATTGCCCTCCTTGTATTGGAGCTTTCCTGCTATTATCCTTTGTAAAGCTGGATTTGTGGGAAGATACTGTGTAAATTCAGTTTTGTCATGGAATATCTTAGTTTCTCCGTCTATGGTAATTGAGAGTTTTGCTGGGTAAAGTATCTTGGGCTGGCATTTATGTTCTCTTAGGGTTTGTATGATATTTGTCCAGGATCTTCTGGCTTTTATAGTATCTGGTGAGAAGTCAGGTGTAATTCTGATAGGTTTGCCTTTATATGTTATTTGGCCTTTTTCCCTTACTGCTTTTAAAATTCTGTCTTTGTTTTGTACATTTTGAGTCTTGATTATTATGTGACGGGAGGTATTTCTTTTTTGATCTAGTCTGTTTGGCGTTCTGTAGGCTTCTTGTGTGATTATGGGCATCTCATTCCTTAGGTTAGGGAAGTTTTCCTCAATAATTTTGTTGAAGATATTTACTGGCCCTTTAAGTTGGGAATCTTCACTCTCATCTATACCTATTATCCTTAGGTTTGGTCTTCTCATTGCGTCCTGGATTTCCTGGATATTTTGAGATAGCAACTTTTTGCATTTTGCATTTTCTTTGATAGTTGTGTCAATGTTTTCTAAGGTATCTTCTGCACCTGAGATTCTTTCTTCTATCTCTTGTATTCTGTTGGTGATGCTTGTGTCTATGACTCCTGATTTCTTTTTTAGGTTTTCTATCTCCAGGATAGTCTCCCTTTGTGATTTCTTTATTGTTTCCACTTCCATTTTTATGTCCTGGATGGTTTTGTTCAATTCCTTCATCTGTTTGTTTGTGTTTTCTTGTAATTCCTTAAAGGATTTTTGTGTTTCTTTAAGGACTTCATCCTGTTTTCCTGTGTTCTCCTCAAGTTTTTTGATAGTGTTATTTACTTCCTTCTTGTAGTCCTCTAGCATCATCATTAGAAATGATTTTAGATCTGGTTCTTGTTTTCCTGGTGATATGGGGAGTTCAGGACTTTCTAATGTGGGAGAACTAGGTTCTGATAATGGCAAGTACCTTGGGTTGCTGGTACTTGTGTTCTTGCGCTTGCCTTTCGCCATCTGGATCACCTTTGTGCTATCAGTGCTGTCTCTGACTGGGGCCTGTCTTTCCTATTATCTAGGTTGTGTCAGAACTGTTTGGGATGGGTTTTGCTGCTTGAGTTAGAGATGAGGCCCAAGATGTGCTCGGTGCTCAGGTGGGAACCGGAAGGGGCCGGGGCTCCGGGTCAGGAGCGGATTCCTGGATCCCAATGAGTCCCAGTGGGTCCCAGTGGGTCCCAGTTGCTCCCTGATTGGGGGCGAGCACTGCCACCTCCTAGCCTAAGCAACTGCTTGAGCTAGCTTGAGCCACGGAGAGCCCCGCTCCCTCTAGGTTCTGTGAGATTGGGTGCAGAGCTGACTCCCGGGATCTGCTCTGGCACAGACCGGAAGGAACCCATGCTCCGGGCCCTGGAGTGAACTCCTGGGTCCCAGTGGGTCCTAGCCACTCCCTGTTCGGGAGCAAGCACTGCCACCTCCTAGCCCAAGACCCTGCTTGGCACAGAGGTCCTGCGAGCCCCGCTTCCTCTGGAGTCTGCGAGATTGGGTGCAGAGCTGCCTCCCGGGATCCGCGAGTGCTCGGGCCCAGACCGGATGGAGCCCGCTCCAGGCCAGGAGCGAATTCCTGGGTCCCAGTGGGTCCCAGTTGCTCCCTGTTTGGGGTGAGTGCTGCTTTTTCCTTACCTGGGACGCTGCGTGAGTTCAAGCTCCTGGGAGTCCCTGTTTTTCTTGGTTTTCTGTGGTTGGGTACGGAGCTGCTGCCTGCGACCCTCTCTAGGCTCGGTCCCAAACCGGAAGTCTCCGAAGTCTGTCCGTACCACTTTTTTTATTCAGACCTCTGTTGAAGAACATCTGGTTCTTTTTAGCTTCTCGCTATTGTAAATAAGGCTGCTATGAATATAGTGGGTAATTTTTAATGGAATAAGGTGTTGCCTAGAGAGAGTGGGCAGCACCATCCCCTGTTCAGGTAAAGTACTGCCAAGGACTCCTTTTCACCATGGGTTCTCAGCTTTCCAAGCCCAGGAAGAGAGGTTCCAAGTGTAGTTATCAGAAGCCTAGCAGAAGCCCCTTGTTCTTCTGTGATCTTAGCATAGACACAGAAGTCATGGGTGATAGGGACCCAGAGGTACTATCTGAAGAGAGGACTGAGCAGAAAAAGAGAGAGCAAGCCAAGACACAAGGAGATGAGCTTGCTTGGCCTGGACCCTTGTCTAAGTTCATCCTACATACAGTCCACTGGCTCCATGAGAGTACCTAGATGATTCTTTTTTCCATCAAACATGAGAATTTTCTACCCATTGCTTTCATGCATCTTTTCTGGCTCTTCTGTCATTACCTTCCAGATGTCATGGTAGATCTACATACACTATCCCATTAAAAATTCATCCCCATTTGTTTCCCTTCTTTCTACTCACAAAGTCCAAAGGTAGTTACACATTTATCAGTGAAATCCTCACATGAGCAAACAAACTTCCTTCCCCACATGGTATCAAAACACATGCACAGACTCCCAGCCCTTGGTCAGAACAACAGTAAATTTTGAAAGCAGGAGGGGCACTCAAACTGTGTCTGTCTGACACTGTGAACTGGTTCCCAGGAAGCCCTGAGATACAGGTCTGTGAGCCATGTGTGAGGCAGAAGGCTAGCCCAGTAGCCTGTTCCAGTGACTCAAAAGATGTTTAACTACAAGGAAAATGTGATAGCACTATCAAGATACAAGAAATCAGCAGTAGAAATTGTGACAGCACAGGGCCAGATGCATTCACATGATAATCAGGCTGTGGGAGTAACATCATAATCTAGCGTCTTTATTTTCTTGGTGTATAGCCTTATGGATTTTGTTTTAGCAGATATATGGTATCACACTGATATTTAATAGTTACACATTACTCCATCATTCCCTAATGTGTTCATCATTTGCAAATTGACAGGAAGAGGATACAAGTAAATTAACAGAGTAATAAAATAATAACAATAATCCCTGTAGTATCCCCTGAGAGGGAAATGCAAATGATAATGTGTTTGAATATTCCAACTTTGGTGTGACAGATGCAAAGTGAGCATGAGGACTACATGCAGCTTACAACAGAAGTCTCCTTGTGTCTGTACAAAATGACAAGATTGTGGGAAACAGTAGTCTCTCTGTCAGGTTGACACTGGCATTCTAAGAAGAAATGCAATTGAGTTTTATTTTCAAAAGCTGACATCACCCAGGTAGCTGGATATACAGAACTGCAAGATGAACCACAGCTGATTGCTGAGCAAAGACAGAGGAGTGAGCAGTAAAGAGCTTTGCCTGAATCACTGGCAGTCTTCTCTGGGGACAAGATTGACTTGACAGTGAGGGACACAACAATGCTGAGACTTAGCACCAACAGCACAGCTTTCTTTCTCTTTGTCTCTACTTTTGTGCCACTAACTACTTAGGTGACAAAATATTTGAGATCTTTGAGATGTCAAGATGATAAGGACATCAGTGTCTTTACAGCATCGGACTCTGAGCATTTGCCTGTCAAACCCTTCATAAAAAGCTCCCATTCAGTCATTTTCTTATCTACTGACACTGTTGTCAACATCCTAAATCTTTACTCTTCATCCTATCCTCCAGAGTGTCAAAGATCTCAGGGTGTTAATAGATGACCTGGCATAAATCTGAAACCAAAAGTCCTTGTGAAAAAAAAAAAAACCCTCCTCATAGAGAGTAGTGTGGGATGTAGAGATGTGAATTTTTAAAGGAGATTAATTACCTGATCACAAACTCAAGACAGGAGGCATCCTACTGCAGTTCTCTGAGCATTGACAGGAGAGGGGACTTGCCCTCTGCCTAGTGTGGAAGGACTCAGTAGGTTCTTCTACCCTTCTCATCATACAGCATTCCAGTGAGGAATATGATCATGCTCACCAGCAACTGATGACAGTGTGTTTCCTGTACATTCACCACACAGATGTGGCAAGAACTCAGATATTAATTATCACACAGGAAATTAGAGATCTCTGGCTCTGGGCCTCTTTCCTCACCTGATTGTTTAAAAGTTGTGAGAAGTGACAAAGTGACCAACTGAGACCTGGTCAGACCCTGAAGAGGATGTTCCTGCTCCTGGTCTTCCTGGTGGCTGTTCTACCAGTCAACACTGAAGGAGGTAAGCAACCATCCACATTCCTAGAGGTGTGGCATGTGGCTTCCAGCACTGACACTTGCTTGCATTGTGCCCAGTCAGGCTGTACCTAAGATCTACTCCTGACTTGGTTTACCTGAGAAGTTAGCTGAGCCCCAGCTCTAGCACAGGATAAATAGGGCACCAAAGACACAACTACTTCCTGTGACTACTTGCAGTGACATCTATTGAGTGAGACCTCAATCATCTAAAAGTGACAAAATATAAAAACATCATAGGACCCTACTGTAAAGCTGAAGTTGAAAAAGAGGGCTGGAAGTTCAAATTGCACAAATCTAAGAGCTAGAAGCTTTATCCAGGGGTTGCTACCTGGATCAAGACTAGAAGAATTCCAAGAGAAATCTGCAGGTTAAGGAAGAATGAAAAACTATTTCCCCTTTCAAATGTTTTATCAAATTACTCTCTGTTCTGACAGGCAGCTCTTTTCTACCCTTTCCTTAGTGTTCAAGAAGACAGGATGAGGGTGTGGAGAAATGTCTGATGAAGTAGAAAATCAGGAACATGAATGGACATTGGATGAATGAAGGATGATGGTGGACAGGGAGGGTTTATGAGAAAAATAGACCAAAGGACATGTGGATGAGCCCTGAACCCCATGCAATGTGGGGTGGGCTTGGAGCAGTTGCTCAGCTTTACCCCTTAATCCCTGGCTAGGGCTGTGTTGGGGTGTTCCACAAGTTTGTGACTAGGAATGGGGGTTCTTTGTTCCAGAGGAGATTATTGGTGGTGTTGCGTCTAGTCCACACTCCCGCCCTTACATGGCCCATTTGGAGATCAGACTTGAAGAAGGTTACACAGCCACTTGTGGTGGATTTCTCATAACCCGCCAATTTGTGATGACTGCAGCACACTGTAAAGGAAGGTAAGAGGCTTCTCTTCCTGTGAGGAAATGTAGGAGACTGAGTCACAAAACAGGAGAGGCCTGAGGAAGGCTCTGAGCCCTGCTCATTTCCAGATGGCCTCTCCTTACACTGAGAGGATAAAGGGAGCACAAGGCCACTCACTGGGCCATTCATGTGTGGTCTCCATTTTCAGAGGTCAGAGCTTAAAGCAGGGCTCTAGTCAAGAGAAAAATTACAGCTTTTGCCTTGTTCTGTCACAAGTACTCAGATATGGACTGGGGTATAAGTCAATGTAGAGTGCCCATCAGCCATGGGCAAAGCCATGGGTAAAGCCATGGTTTCAGTCCAAGTACTGAGAGTTCTCAGCCCTGTGTTTTTATGAGCCAAGTCCTTCTAGGAAGGCTATGGTCATGGGAGCTCCATCTTTAGTCTACCCTCTCTGCACTTGGATAGAGAAGATAGACCTTAATGCTTTTCTCAGAAGGACTCTTCCTAAGGCCAGAATGTTTCACTGCTTCTTTTATTTTTCAACAGAGAAATCACTGTCACCCTTGGAGCTCATGATGTGAGCAAGAGAGAATCCACACAGCAGAACATAAAAGCTGAAAAACAAATCATTCATCCAAACTACGATTCCAATTCCAATCTCCATGACATCATGTTACTGAAGGTGCCATGATTTTTCCCATCTTTCTTAAGTCTCCCATCCTTAACTCTCCACCTGGATCAAGTCTTCAAATTCTTTCCTGTCCAAATCATTTCCTCAGAACCCACTCCTGAATTCCCAATGGGAAAGGACCGGTGTCCAAGCATTTTTACTGCTTTGACACCTCTTCTCTTCTTCTTCCAACAGCTTCAAAACAAAACAGAGTTAACTCCTGCTGTGGATGTAATTCCCCTGCCTGGTCCCTCTGACATTATCATGCCTGGGAAAATGTGCTGGGTAGCTGGCTGGGGGCGCACTGGAGTGAATAAACCTCCATCAGATACCCTGAGGGAGGTGAAACTGAGAATCATGGATAAAGATACCTGTAAATACTATCCGAATTATGATGATAACTTCCATGTCTGCGTGGGAAGTCCCACAACATTAAAATCCATATACCTGGTGAGTACACATCTGCTTTTCCTCACCACATCAAGAAACAGCATCAGTGGAGGAAGTGTGCCAAACAGCTCTCCATGACACTAACTAATGCCTGTGTTCTTAGGCTTCTAGCCCTGAGAATTTGGGAAGTGAAATTCTACTTCTCTGTCTCATTTCCCTGTGCCCACACCTTTCCTGCAACCTTCCCATGAGGCTAGACATGAGACAGGAAGAGAGTAAAGGTAGTCATGTTAGCAATGGGTTAAGGTCAGGGAGGAGGGGGATTAGTCATTAAATCCCTAATTTAGGAATAATAGTGAACCAGGACTTCTTACTCCAATCTGATAGTAGCTATGGTGGGTCATTAGAAGCTGGGGGAAAGCAATCTTTGCTCATATTCTTATTTTTCTCACCTATAGGGAGACTCTGGGGGACCTCTAGTGTGTGCTGGTGTGGCCTACGGTATTGCATCTTACAATACTCTTCCAGTTCAAAAGCCCCCTTCAGTCTTCACTCGAATCTCCTCATACATGCTCTGGATTAATACTGTCTTAAAGGGCAAGTAGCTGAAAAGCCTGACCAGCCTGAGTCAGAGTCTCCAAGAGTGAGTTCATCTGGTACCTATTGAGTTCAACACAGCCTTTCCCCAGCCTGTCCCCAAGAGAATCTCAAAGACACACCAGTCTGTGATGATGGATTGTTCCCTGTAATGCTCCCCAATAAAGAAATAACCTCATGCACCTGCGTGACTCCTGTCTGTGCTCTAAACACTCAGCCTCTCTCTAAGCATAATGAAGATTTGATTTGAGCTACTATCCTGCCATGTTAACAATCTTGAGTACTGACTTCCTGGCACAGGTGGGACACTGTGGATGACTCAATATTATCTAACACACATGGGTGTGTACAGTAAGATTTTATATCCAGAGTAGTGTGCACTGTTCTGTTCTTCTCCTCCACTGTCCTTTCTCTCCTTCCATGTCTCTCAGCTCTTCTGCCCACCAACCCCATGCCATAGCCAATGTGTCTTTCCACACATCATAGGAAATTCCCCATCATGGTCAGACATAGCTGTTGACAGCTTGTATCCTCAACACTCATGCTGCTGTCTCCATCTGAGCTCTCAATAATGCACCTAAAGCTAGAGGAGAGCCTGCCCTCAGAAGTCCTTGGACCATGACTGTGGCTGCAGCAGGCACCACAGGAGAGCATCAGCACTTTCTGGATAGAAACACAGGGCAGAAGTTGTCATCATTGGCAGGAGACCCTCTAGTACTTAGCATGAATTAGTACTTCCCATGGTGGCTCTAGGCCTGCTTCTTTGCCACCCAAATGTAACAGCCTTTCAGAAGAACATCAGGGTTAGTTGAACTTCTAAGTGCTCCCCTCTTGCAAGGCAATATACCCATTGTCTTTAGTCAAGGGAAAAGACACATTAGCTGCAGGGTACTGTGGACTCTTAATAGAAGAGACCTTCATGAGGTCAGATACTCCCCAAAGAGGGCTAATATGATGAGTGTGGCCTTCTGACTACTGTACCATGAAAACCTGCTGCCAGTAACATCTGCAGACAAGGACTCAGGACCTCATGCCCCCTCACAGCCTGTAAGACTTATGTCTGGGTTTCCAGCTTCAGCAATGTTCAATAGATATGTAAAGATAGCTATCAAATACAAGACTGCCTATAAGTTCTACTCTAACTCTATGTTGGCAGGGAGCATATACAGGATTAAACAACCTAAAAAGATCTTTAAACCATAGAGAATCCATGTTGGTTTATTGTGTCCTGGGTGACCATTGACCATCATTAATTTTTTTCTAAATTTTGTTTACAGTTGTACAACTGAGTCACAGTATCTTTTCTCATTTTGTCTTGGATTGGAGTGGTTTGAGCACATTCTCACCATGTGGATCAGACTGACTTCCAACTCATGATCCTTCTGCCTCAGCCTCCCTCATGCTGGGATCCCAACCACCCTCCACCACCCTCAGCTTACACAAAAGGCTCAAAATGCGAAACACAAAGCAGAGTCAATAGCTGTGTCTTTTCTTAGGAGATACAAATACTACTAACCTGCAGCTGAGGGCACACTGCCTCTTTGGCCCATACTCTAAGAAGGACATGTACTTGGGACAGTCTTCCTCCATGAACCTGGGCAATTGGAGGTGAGCAGAGAGTGATTGCCCCACACTGCAGCCTGGCCCACAGCAATAGGAGAGCAGGGGGAGATTCCTGAGAGCTCAGCTGAGGATATAGGCTGAATGAATGGCTTCCAGAAAGGTCACCTCTACAGAGCAAACCCCATCACATGGTCCCCTGGTGTCAAAGGAGCAATTGGTAACCCAAAGACTCCAAAATCAAGACAAGAGCCTGATCCACATCATAGTGTTCACTCTTATACATGGTGGATTATACACAGGAGGAGCAGGCCCGGTGCACTCTGGAAACAAGAGAACAGTAATGGTCTCACAAAGTCAGCAAAGGAAACATGCAGATAAGAAAGTTTTTCCCATGGTTTGTACAGTAGCACTGCTGGGCAGCTTAGCTTAATAAAGCCTCTCAGTGCACTATTACCAGCAGATACACACTGAGTGTGTCCAAAGGGAAGATCAGCTCAGCCAACAGCAGATGAAGAAAGCATCCAGAGGTCAGCAGATGCCCACTCAAGCTTTGCAAATGTGGAAACCAACCCAGAAATCAGAGAATACAGGTAAGTCTTTAGATCACAGTAATTGCATTTGAGAGGGATGATCAGCTCTAAGTGCTAAACAATGAGGAAAGGAGATTTATATTCAGAAACAAAAATCCTTACAATGAGGAGAATCCAGTCTCTGGTGAGCCAGGGTCATTACTATCCTGCAGCAGATTTTACCACCTGACCCCTTCTGTTCTACTGCCATCCAAGGAATGTTTTTATCAATTATTTTATACCTAAAATTTTTGATAGGTCTAAAAACACTTTTAGGAAGGAAGAAATATGACTTTGTATCAAAATAGTTCGCAAATGACACTGTTGGTGGCTGAGGGGTTCTAGTACCAGACTGCTTATATTAGATTCCTTTCATCACATTTTTAACTGGACAAATGAAATATGCATTTAATTATAACACACAACATGATTTTTTTCTTGCTTTACATTTACAGAAAGCATGACCAAATCAAGCTAATTAATATTTTAATTATCTTAGATACTTTGTATATTAACATCTAAAATCTCTCAGTGAGTTTTAGTTATAAAATACAGTTTTATTAAGTGGGAGGTGGTAGCAAACTCCTGCAATTCTAGGACTTTATAGGCAGAGAAGAGAGGACCAGAAGATCATCCTTGGCTGCATAGGGAGTTTACCACCAACCTGAGCTACATGAGAAGGAAGTGTTTCTCTCTCTCTCTCCCTCTCTCCCTCCTTCCCTCCCTCCCTCCCCCTCCCCCTCCCCCCCCCTCTCTCTCTCTCTCTCTCTCGCTGCCTGCCTTCAATCTCTCTGGCAAATAAATCCTATCTTTAATTATGTTCTATTTTAATTATGTTTTACTTAGGAAACAGTTCACCCCATAGGTAAAAACCTGTAAGGGAAAGTCACACAGTGAATATTTTGCTCTTTGAAACTCCTTGTACGCAGCCCTTCAGAAGATGAGCACACTCCAGTGGAAAGCCACAACCCCAAGAATATTCGGGCTGCACAAATTTTCTTCTGGAAAAAATCCCTCAAAATTTGGTCAGAAAGGAAGTGGAGTAGATCTGGGAAGAACTAGAGATCTAGAGGGTCAAGACAGATTAAACTATCAGTGATTGTATTTGTCAGGGTTCTCTAGAGGATCAGAACTGATAGAACTTATTAGGGTAGTGTACTGGCTGGTTTTGTGTGTGAACTTGACACAAGCTGAAGTTATTACAGAGAAAGGAGCCTCCCTTGAGGAAATGCCTCCATGAGATCCAGCTGTAAGGCATTTTCTCAATTAGTGATCAAGGGGAGGACCCAGCCCATTTGGGTGGGTTGGTCATCCTGGGTTCTAGAAGAAAGCAAGCTGAGCAAGCCAGAGGAAGCAATCCAGTAAGCAGCATACTTCTGTGGCCTCTGCATCAGCTCCTGCCTCCAAGTTCTTGTCATGTGTGAGTTTCTGTCCTGACTTCCTTTGGTGATGAACAGCAATGTGGAAGTGTAAGTGGACTAAAACCTTTCCTCCTAAACTTGCTTCTTTGTCATGATGTTTGTGAAGGAATAGAAATTCTGACTAAGACAGGTAGCTCACAGCCTGTGGTCTAGCTAATCCAACAATGGCTGTCTACAAACAGAAAGTTCAAGAATCCAATAGTTGTTTAGTTCATATAATCCAATAGTTGTTCACTGGCTAGAAATCTCAGCTGGTCGTCAGTGTATGCTAATTTCCTGAAGACTTAGGGTTTACTGTGTGTGAAGGGATTTATTTGCCAGAGAGTGAGGGCTGACAGAGCCAGAGAGTGAACAGAGGGGAGAAAGGGTAAAGAGGGGAGAGAGGGAAGAGTAGAGGGGGAAGAGTAAAAGGGGAAGAGTAGAGGAGGAGAATAGAGCAGGGGAGAGTAGAGAGGAGAAAAAGAATAGAGAGGGGAGATTAGAGGGGTAGAGAGAGTAAAGGGGGGATAGAGAGTAAAGGGGGAATGAGTAGAGGGGAGGGATAATAAAGGGAAGAGAGCATAGAGGGGAGGGAGAGTAGAGCATTAGGGGAGGGGGAGACAAAGAGGAAGGAGAGGGGAGAGAAAGAAACAAGAAGAGAGAAAACACTTCTTTTTTCCATGTCCCCTGTATAGGCTGCCACCAAAAGGAGTGGTCCAGATTAATGGTGGATCTTCCCAGTTCGACAGATATGGATTAAAGATGGGTCTTCACATTACAAGGAGTTTAGTTGAGAAAAAAGTTCTTTGAAGAAACACCCAACCTCTTTGGCTTAAGTTAAGCCCACATGTAGTCAAGTTGCTAACCAGGAATAACCATCACAGTGATTAACTCCAAATCACCAATTATGCATCAGCGCTGCATTAAGAAAAGAAATAAAAACATTTCCCTTGGAGTCATTTAACTAAGAATTAGTCACAGTTACATTCTCTACATCACACTACCATGTGTTCAGTTCTCTGTGTCTGTTGTATGAGTCTGGTTTGTGCCTGACAGAGGCTGACTTATGAATCTGTCCTGTTTGTATCTGTGCCAGTATGTCTGTGTGTCTGTCCTTCACAAAGGGCTTTCCTCTATATGTACTGAACAACACAGAAAGGATCACACAGGGAAGGAATGGGATACTCTACAGACATCCTTAACAGAAATGTGCAAGGGATTGAATCACTGACTCCAACTGAGTCAGACAACAACCATAAAAGTTCATCAACCAATATACCCAAATATGCTCACCATTTATGGTGGATATTCACTTGAGAAGATCCCTTTCAACCTGTGTGATTGTTGCTTTCAGTAAATGATACACATGCATGGGTCTGGTTCAAGGCAAGGAAGTAACAGCTTAGAGTCTGACAGCTGATTACATGGGAAACCCAAGGCAAGTAGGCTTGGTTGTTACATTATTCTCTGAATGGCAGGTTAAACCAGCAGTATGAGCACACACAGTAGGACAGCAGTCTTAAGTCTTAGTGACTTCAAAGTGTATCATTAAATTGATTGTAAAGA